CGTCTTCCCCTCCCCCAAAGTTTCAGATACTGTTGTTGAGCCTTACAATGCCACTTTGTCTGTCCACCAGCTTGTGGAGAATGCAGATGAGTGTATGGTTCTTGACAATGAAGCCCTGTATGACATCTGTTTCCGTACTCTCAAGCTTACCACACCAAGCTGTAAGTTACTCTCTGCATATTCCCAGATCTTTCGTATTAGTACCATTGCTGTTTATCCTTTGCAAGTTTGAATGCTATTTCCTCTTGGCCTCTGGTATTTATGTTTAAATTAGTTTTGCAAGGAAAGATATATGCCTTGTTTTGGTTTGCTTCAGATCTGTATTTGATCTCAAATATTTACTTTGATGAAATGGTGGCTTTGCTACGTATTTGATGAAATGGTAGTTTTGCTATTCACTTTCCCAGAGTTCTTATGATATCTCTCCGGGTTTTTTCAGTTGGTGATCTGAATCACTTGATCTCTGCAACCATGTCTGGTGTCACTTGTTGTCTAAGGTTTCCTGGGCAGTTGAACTCTGATTTAAGGAAGTTGGCAGTGAATCTCATCCCCTTCCCCCGTCTCCACTTCTTCATGGTGGGTTTTGCCCCCCTGACCTCCCGTGGTTCCCAACAGTACAGAGCCCTTACTGTCCCAGAGCTTACCCAGCAGATGTGGGACTCAAAGAACATGATGTGTGCAGCTGATCCTCGCCATGGCAGGTACCTGACAGCATCAGCCATGTTCCGTGGGAAGATGAGCACGAAGGAGGTGGACGAACAGATGCTGAATGTGCAGAACAAGAACTCATCCTACTTTGTGGAGTGGATTCCGAACAATGTCAAGTCTACAGTTTGTGACATTGCCCCCACTGGTCTGAAGATGGCTGCCACCTTCATTGGGAACTCGACATCCATTCAAGAAATGTTCCGCCGGGTGAGCGAGCAGTTCACTGCCATGTTCAGGAGAAAGGCTTTCTTGCATTGGTACACCGGAGAAGGGATGGATGAAATGGAGTTCACCGAGGCAGAGAGCAACATGAATGACCTGGTGTCCGAGTACCAGCAGTACCAGGACGCAACAGCGGACGAAGAGGCAGAGTATGAGGATGAGGAGCCAGAGTATCAGGAGTAATTTGTGTTTAATTTGATTTAACTGTTGAGGATGAATTTTCTATGTTTGGTTGAATGTCCCTTTCATTTTAATCTTTGTTTATCTGTGGTTGTATTCTCAACTACCAGTTGTCATCTCAATCCTTAAGAACATTTGTTGATGTTGGAGACAGTTTACCTATATTGTGATGTTTGTTAATGAATATCTGTTTGTGGATGCCCATTGTCATTGATTATTATCTGCTGGAACCTTTGTATTTGAATCACTTTGTGCATGATGGGAGGGAGTACTTAATTTTTAGTGAGAAGTATAGCTGGGTGTTTATGAATGAACATGGGATGTTGTGTTTGGTAATCTGTATGCCTAACTTATACCCCACCAGTTTTAGAACAAAAAATGGATCTAGTAAAAGATGGGGGTATTTTACAATTAAGATTGAACCAATAACACAGGAAAACATAGAATGGTTGTCCAACAATTTTCTTGCCATGAACTTCAATCATCAATACTAATTCTTTTGCAAGTGTAAACTTTGCAAAAGATTAATGGGATCATCAACATGAATACAATCTGCAAAAAAAGAGAGACAAATCCATCTGTTGGTGGTATTCCAAAAGTCTTTTTTCTTTGTTCACAATTGATCTTTTCATTTCATTTTTTAACAATTAAAATACCACAACTACCCCCACTTTATTTATTACACCTCACCCATCTCATTTAATACACTCCATCCATTTTCATTAAGGGTATTATGGTAAACTTTCACATTTTTTCAACTCTCCTTAAAAACCACCAAAAGTCAAAATTAGAACATCTTAGGGGGACGGAGGGAGTAGTAATTATACTAATCTCTTTGTCCCTAATGATCTTTGATGTCATTTCATAACTCGCTCGCCTCCTCGACTTGGGTTATCGAGTTTCAAAGAGATGCATCGATGGTATTGAAGATACATGAAACCAACATGGCATTCACAATCAATCACTCTTCGTATTCTAGGTCGTCTGCTTGTGGTTGAGGAAGAGATCCATCGACGACTTCACATTTTCTTTTGACATGAAGAGCAATTTAGACAGCTGGTGCCCATTCTTCGTAATTACCACCAATCAACTTGGTCTGGGTGATAACTAGTGCTAGTGTGTCTGTAGATTTTAGTTCAATCGTAAGGACTAACCTTGGTGAATTATTTCTCCTTGTTGTCCATTCCAACATCGGAGGCGATGATTTTAGAGAATGAGTTCTCTTCCTGTTCGTCGACCATCTCAGAAGTTAGGCAACAAGACGGCGTCAACGAGGCGTCAAGATCAGGTCTTGAGATTTTGCTCTGATACCATGTTAATATATGTTAATATAATAGAGGGAGATATTTTCTGTAGATCCAAATGTTACGTCTGTTCACAAGAGAAGGGCCCTCTCTATATAGGAAGAGAGAATGACAAAGAAATAAACTTCTATTCCTACAATTAATCTAATTCCTTCATAACAAGAAACAAATCAAACAAGGAAAGTCAACAAACCGAATCCCATGAGGATTTTGTTTCCCTTATGCGTACATATCTCGCCAACAAAATATATTTCTGGTACATATTAGAATCTAATGCTTAACAAGATTATTCTTTTTAGTGTTGTCAAGGTTCAAATCCATGTTAATTCTTTGTGTCACCACCTTGTTGACCGGCCCAACAAAGATCCATAGAAAAATTGGTAGAATTAAGATTGAGCATCTCCATTGAATGAAGGATAATAGGGGAATATGATGATAGGTAAAGAGAAATAGGAGAGAAATTATTAGAGAGGGGTGGAGAATATAGGAGAGAAAAGAGAAAAGCAATGCTAGGAGTACACGAAAGGTGTACCCCATTTGTCCCTCACTCCTTTCTCCACCACTCATTTTTATTTTATTTTTATTTATTTAATTTTTTTAGTTTCTTGCTCATTTATGTGGACAAGGAGGGGATGTTGGACAAATGGGGTACACCAAGGTGTACCACTAGCATTTTTCAAAAGAGAATAAGGGGCTGTTTTTTTCAGCCTCTTAATGGTTCAGATGTCTGAATGGTTCAACACTTAATGGTTCAGACTGTTTGTTTCAGCTTCTTATTGGTTCAGATGTCTGAATGGTTAAGAGATTTGCCTCTGAATGATTGAGTATTATACAGAGTCTGAATGGTTAAGACATCTTATCTGAATTGATCAGACATTTGCCTCTGAATAGTTAAGCAATATACTAGCTCTTAATGGTTCAGACCTCTTACTGGTTCAGCACTTAATGGTTCAGACCTCTTACTGGTTCAGCACTTACCGATTCAGAAGTTGCCAAACAGCCCCTAAGTGAATATTATTTTTTTAGAGATAGAAAAGATTACGTATATGATTGACTAATTGTTATTGATGGTGTAAATTACCACCCGGGTAAGCTATTCTAGATTGGGTCTAGGATTTTTTACTGTGTTTAGATGCTAAAAGGACTCAAGAGATGAAGATTGATCGGGAGAACTATAGGTGGGAACATCCATATTCCAATTGTTATTAAGTGTGGGAAAAGTACAGTGAAGAATTACACAATGTGCTCTAGAGTGATAATATTTAGATCCCTTCTACTGAGGGTTACAAATCTACTCTTAGTGGGATTAAGAGGCAAACTAGCGCACACCTATGCCTGACCACGTGCTTGGCACGTGACAGGGCGCACGTCCTATTGCCTCTTTTGGCTCGTAATGTTTGTCTCTTGTTCCTTGGAGTTTTTCCCTTGTGACTGTACCCTTTTGGCGGGTAGCGTTTTGTTGGGATCCCCTATATGTCCGTTGGAGCAGGAGAATCTCGTCAGATCAAATTATCTACATCGCTATCTTCCAACTTGTTCAACCACCCGGTGGTTTCTCAAATTATTGGCTTGAAGATCTGAAGACCCTTACCGTGAAGTCACGGGGCTTGATTGATAGTGCGATTTATACCCAACTACCCGGGTGGTTTCCTCCCCCATCGATCACGTCCCTATTCGACCCCAAATTCTTGGCACGTGCTGCTCCTGTATCTCCCAGTTGTTTTCTGTTGTGTATGATCCGGGTCGGTTCTTGGGTGGGAATACACCCATCATTTTATATACTTCCTCTGTCCACCATAGATCTTCCCAGATACTATTCACAGGGTCAAACTTTACTCACTTTGTTTGCTCAATTTTACTAGTCATTTTATAAAATAATATAGTCTTGTCACCTCTAGTTTTGTAGAACTTTTCATGTAGTTTATTACTATATAAATTTTATTTTAAAATTTTATTCCTATAATCAATTAAATTGAATTGAAAATAAAGTCGGTCAAGCCTTGTAACGCGCAATGGGAAGATCATACATGGACGAAGGGAGTATATAGTAATGAGAAAAGTAAGAGAATTATTAAAGAAAGTTAAAAAAAATGAATACCACATTAGAAGTAGATGATACTCCATCTAACCTAAAACTTTCTTCCCAGAGCATTATTCCAACTTCACGGGAATTTATATTTATTTGTGTTTTTTCATGGCTTATATGATAAAATAAAATATTCTTGTCACCACTTGTTTTGTTGAACTTTTGATGTAGTTTTTAAATATGTATGTTTTATTTTTATTTCTATACCAATATTTAAATAAAATAGATTGAAAAAACTTGAAAATTTTCTTCGTTTTGCGTAACGGGAAGAAAGATATAGGACGTAGGAAGTATAAGAGAAAAATATCAAGAAATGAGTAGATGTCCCTATTTTTTAGCGCTATAAAACTACAATTAAAATTAAAATAAATGGTGGAAGTAGGATTGGGCCCTACAAGGAAAATGAGGTTGAAAGCAGGGGAGCCCCCCCCCCCCCCCCNATCCCTGTGATCTTACACCACCGAAAAATGAACAGTACAAGCATTACGCCTAACCACTGCACTCATTATCTTCTTCCACCACTCCAAAAAAATCTGACACTCTTTACCTTTACCCCACCGTTCATGGCAAACATGGCCTATGTGACGTACATCATGTCACGGACAAAGTAATCCTGAAACCACCTTAATCCCAACCTTTCCCCAGTCTTCTGGTTTCCCTTTTCCGTGAATTCTTTGAGTTTTTCATTTACCCAATTTCCTCTCCATTTCTTTCACGGAGCTTTGCCGTGAAATGGAGGCTGCGGTGGAAGTTGATGAGGAGGCCAATGGAGGTGGCGGGGCTGGGAATCTTCAGTACAATCGCCGCCGGCGCCAGAGACAGCGTCGGCGCAGGCCGTCTTTGGCTGCGAGCAGCGAGACTACCACCGACGGGAGCTTCCGCTTCACGGACTCGGACTCGGACCAGTCCTGGGCGTCGGCCGCCGGCGGGCCCTACGAGGAATGCCGGTTTTCCGCGGCGGCTGAGCGGCTGAGGCATAGCCGGAGAAACGCTTTCTCGGTGCCGGGGTGGGTGTCGGACGACGAGATCGACTTGGAGAGCGGTGAATTGGAGCTGAAGTTAGTGGGTAAGGAGGAGGAGGAGGAGACGAGGGATTGTAGGATTTGCCGTCTAAGCTTGTCTGGAAGCGGCGGCATCGGCGGCGACGGCGAGCTCGAGCCCTCCTCCGGCGTCTCCATTGAATTGGGGTGCTCTTGTAGAGGTGATTTGGGCACTGCCCACAAACAGTGTGCCGAAACTTGGTTTAAGATCAGAGGAAACACGTAAGTACTTAAAGTTTCTTGATTGGATTCTTGATAAAAATGTGATCTTTTTTGCTTGATGGTTTTTTTTCTTTCAGTGATGTTTTCCTCTTCTTTACTGGAATCCTTTTGATTTATTTGGTTGATGTGAATTGAAACATTCTCCCTCCAGGGCTATCTCCAATCTACAAGATTAAAGAATTGGCCTAGAAATCCATTTATAACCCTAGAAATCCAATTTGCAATCTAAGTAAGAGGGCGTTTGGGGTTGTGTTTGAAAACTGGTTTTGAACTTTAGCTACATCTAAATGCAGTATAGCATTACAACTTGATTCTGCTTGTAGTTTATGGCTTGGGAAGTCTAAAATGGATTCTAGTGAAGTGTTTTTGAGCATAACTAAGACTAAGTGCTCTCCTTCCACTTGTAACTTTTATTTCTTTTCAGAAATCTATCATAAGTTCATAACCCCAAACACTCTTTAAAGCAAGAAACTTTGTATAGGTTCCTAGCATGCATTCATCTAAATGATCTAATATCAAGAAATACATGGTGGGCATTAAAGAGAATGTGTGTTTCTCCACTTCATTTTTATTCTTGTGTGTTTTTTACTCCTACTTGGTTGTGTTATCACTGTTATCATAAAACAAAGGTTTGAGGCAAATGTTTCGAATATGTTTGCTTATAAAACAAACATGTAGAGCATACTATATCATCAACAAACACTACTCAAAGTGTTTCAAATTGTGCTAAGCTAGTCGGACAAAAGTCGCAAAACACAGGCATGGTTAGATGGCCATCTTGAAAAAGAAAAAACCGCAGAAATCCAAGAAACATACATCTTTTTACAGAGTAATGCTGCATGCTCCGTATATCTTAACCCCCAAATCCCAACTGAATTGAGATTATACCGGGCTTTGTTGATGTTGTTGTTTGATTATAGAAGTTGCATAAGCTAGAAACAGTTGAATACGTTTCCAAACATGAGTCTCCTAAAATGTGATGCAGAACATGTGAAATCTGTGGTGAGACTGCAGTCAATATCGCCGGGGAGCAGACAACCGAAGAAAATGAAACTAGCGGTGGAGCAGCTCTAACAGCACCAACATTCGTCCCCGAGACCCAACGCTTTTGGAATGGTCGCCGCGTCATGAACTTTCTACTTGCCTCTATGATCCTTGCCTTTGTCATCTCATGGCTCTTTCACTTCAACATTCTCCCTTGAAGAGGGTGGGTGCCACAAGCTCATAGCTTCTCTTTTTAAAAGCAAGTCCAAATTAAAGATAGCTCATTCACATCAAGTTTCAAGCTCATTCCTTTGGGATGATGTTTTGTTCTTCTGAACTGGAGACACAGATTAGTTTGTTGTACATAAAGAAGAGCCTTTTTCTTGAAGATCCTGTAAATGGTTACTACTCCTTTGCTCTCTTGCTAATTAAGCATTGCATGTGACAAAGAATCTGTGATTTAGTCATCTCTTTAGGGCCCCATGAGGGAGAGAGATTGACAGGTGACCAAACCTGACATGTCTCATTATGATTATATATGCTCTTTGTTCCCAACATATGGCATAATGCTTCAATGAGTCATTGCTTGATTTTCTTCCAAGGAATCTTCTTCATCTTCAGCAAGCAATGAGTCTTGGGATTAATCAATCATTATGCACCTCTCCATTGCAGGGTTGTTGTCTATGGTTGATGCCAATGTCAATTGTGAACTCTTGAGAGTGTTGTCAGGGTTGTTGTTAATGCACTAGCATTTTGTGTCAGTGTAAATCATCAAAATGTTAGTGTATACTTTTGGTGTAATTTTGAGTGCACTTTTTGGAGTAAGTGTACCATGGTTGAACAAAATTTGTTCAAGTTGTCTTATTTTTAGGACGAACCAAACTCAAAGCATTGATGAATATTTTTCTTTACTGTGGCAACAAATGTCGGATAATGTTCAAATATAATGTTAAATAATGTCAAATACATAATACTCTCTCCGTCCAATTTATGTCACATGTTTACCATTCATTGTGTTAAACTTTTATCTCGTTTTTGTCATTTTTGTTACCCATTTGATAAAATAATTTATTTTTATTTCTTCTTGTTTTGTAGGATAAATCTTTTGATTTAATTATTAAATATGTAAATTTTATTTTTTTAATTATACACTAACTTTTTAATAAATAATGTTAAAAACAATTTCAGATTTGAGCAGTAGGGAATGGCTTCCTACTTTAGAATAGGGGGGGTTATGTCTTAGTTTTTTTAATATGGCCCTATACTCTTTTAATAAAATGGTTAACCTTCCTTATTTTCTCGTTAACCTCTTTGACAAGAAACGCCGTCGTTTCTTTTTTCTTGTTCCCCAGGCTAGCCGCCAAAGAATTCAGTAAAAGATCCATTGGGCATTGAACAAAAAAGAAAAGAAACCTTTTTTTACAGTTTGATTTACGCATAGCATTTGTAAGATGGCTGCGGAGAACACTTCATCTTCTGCAGTAAATAAGCAAGATGTTTCACCATCTACATCAAAGCAGCCCCAAAAGGTTCTTTTTTTTTACCTCGATCTTCTAATTAGGGTTTTGAGGTGGGTTTTAGGGGTTTAAAATTAGTCCCCAATGTCGAGAAACATATAATGAAAGACTTTCTACAATGTTGAAGTTAGAACTTTTAATTAGTTGTGAGAATGTTGGATTGTTATTATGGTTTTGCTAATGACAGATCTAATGGTTCAATTTTTTTTATGTTTTGAAATAAATGGCACGAGAATATGTGTATCAAAAATAATAACTTTATCCAATTTGACTTTTACCGTGTGTTAAAAATTGTTAAAAAGTTAGAAAAGAACCGGATGGTCAGTGTTTATTTAGATAGTAGAAAAATATTGTGAGACACATGTTCATTACTAAAAAAAAGTAATGCAAAAAGTATTTGTTAAAACGTCTAAAAGAAGAATAACCTAGCTAAGTTGTATTGAGACAAGACGATGCTCAAATAAGGACAATGTCAAGTGCGGGGATATACCAATTTTTTTCTAATGCAAATGATTTGGATGTCAGAATGTCTCTGAGAATCTAAACGGAGATAGCAATGAGGATTTTTTTTGTCAAGAGAATGCTAGAAATGCACATCAACAACAACCTTGGAGGTTGTCATTAGCAAAACCCGCTATCACTATAATAACCTTAATTACCACTTCTCATCGACTATTGTTGTTCTTGTCGTTGTTGAGCAGATCCTTGGTTGGATGGAGAAGGAGTTGGAGTACAGAGCGGAGATGTTTAACACGTAATTATAGTCATAGTAAATAATTTCCTTAAAGCCCCTCTTACAATGCCTGTGTGTATGTAAGTAGTAGTACCATTTGATGAAATGGGTAAAAGAACTAAAGATTTTGCTTGTGATGAACCAAATGCACACAATTTTTGTGGAGCCTGCAGACTTACACACACCTGTTTCCACAAGTGCATCTCCGGCAAGGACTACAAAGAGGCCGAGCTTTACATTGGCGAAAATGCTTGCATCGATCGCTGTGTTTCAAAGTACTGGCAGGTTCGTATCATTCAATGTATGCTTATAGCTTTGTTTAAGCGGTTGATTTTATGCGTGGCGTGGAATCCTTAATTAAATTTACTAAGGACAGATTTCGCTGTTTTTCCTAGGTAACAAACATTATTGGTCAGTTGCTGGCTTCCGGGCGTGCTGGAACTGGCCCTCAGTGAAATATATTCTGAAAATTGCAGAAAATTCTTTCTTCTGTCCTTTTTTTCATGAAGTGTTGACATCTTTTATGATAATCTGTAAAGATGCATACAGTTTTTTGGGGGTAATGTTCATTAACTCCAAAGGAGACTTCAGGCTCTTTTTGCTAGCCATTACTGACTTTATAAACAGAATAGAATGGATAAGCAAGTTTTGATTTGCTTAGTTTTTGACTGAAGTACATGTTTACCCTTTCAGAAAATCAAACTGATTCAATCATTTCAGCCATAAGAAAACCTTACCAAACATGCCCCTATCATGTGGGACCCACCCATTGTGTTTCAATAAAAACTGTGAAAGCAGAAGGGACATGATGAAATCACCTCCTGTTGGTGGTTATCACATTGTAAAGTGTTTTAAACATTTCTTGAGCCTTCAAATGGAAGATGTCTCCCACCAAGAATGGGTCAAATAAAGCAACAAGAGAAAAGATAAAAAGGAGAACAGAGTTTTATATATACAGAGTTTATTTTTTACTGTCTTTTTCTTTGGGGTTCCAGAGAAGCTCCATCAGCCAGGGTGTCCCTGGCATCAGAGTCCATGCCCAGAGTGAAGAGGGCGGCGGCTTGAAGGTAGAAAGCAGTGGGCCATTCAGGATACACGGTTTGCGCTTGCATCGCATCTGCTAGGGCTTCTTGTGCCTTATTGCTCATCAGGTAGCACAGTGACCGCCTCGCTAGCACTGTTGGAGACACCACTGTACCCCCCTCTATAAACTGCAAACCAAACACACACACACACACCTATACATTGAGTTGATAAGAACACAATCTAAAAATCACATTTTTGTGCCCTAATTCCCAAGAATTACTCGAAACTGACATTTATGTACATACATACATACATGTGTGGGTGTGTGAGAGAGAGAGAGAGGACAGAGAGAAATGGGTAGCGTACTTCGGTGTAGCAACCAATGGCAGTGGTGAGATCTTTAACACGGAAAGCGTTGTCACCTCTTTTCCTACTATTTAAGGTTTCCTGTATTTGGCCAGTCCACATCTGAAATGAGAGCTTCAAAAGCAGAAGAGAACTTTTACTTAACAAGCATTTGAAGATATAAGGGAAATTGAGTTAGGAGAATGTGAAAGAAGAAACACCAACCTCGTTCGCAACCCCTTCGTCATCCTTGTATCCTGTGTTTTCCAAAATGTTGTGGATGGCTGTTAAATCATTTCTTGAACAAGCTTCGCCGAGAGGGGATAGTTTGGGGGAGTGTGTTGGAGATGGCGTTTCTTCAGACTTTATGCCCATCAGAATATATGATGCCACCTGATGCAATCAAATCAAACCAAATATATACAGTTTAAGATGTCGCACTAACAACAACAACAACAACAACAAATCCAATGTTTGAATTTATTGTCGAGAGGGTGGTATTTCTTTTTTTAAATAAGGAAAAAAATAGAAGAAAAGTTACATCGGTTTCTCTCTGAAGAGAAGTGAGATTGGTGACAAGGGATTTGACACTTGGCCTCTCACGAGATTCGTACTGTAAACAACGTGTGGCTAAACGCACCACCTGAGTTCCCTCATCGTCTGAGAAATGGCCCTCCAAACATGAATCCATCAGCACCAGATAATTCTTTCCACGTATCAAGTCAAGTGCCTGCACACACACAGATTAAGCAGATGAACCAATGGGACTTGTTTCTTATGTATTCGTGTTACAGCTACATTCTGATAAAGAAGAAGAAGAAGAAGAAGAAGAACATGAACAAGAACAAGAAGATTACATGAGACGGTGGAATATGCTTCCCACTCAGAAGATCAAGCAACAGTGTGCCAAAACTGAAAATGACACTCTCGGGAGTTATTCTACCTGCCAACAAAAAGAAAAAGAAAGTTTTATAACAGCTACACATGTCCCCGCTCTTGAATACCTGTCGATTTAGCAAACCGATAACGGGAAAAGAGAGAAAAATGACCAAAAAAGGTACTTGAAATAGAAGAGAAATTTGAATAAACAACATACCCAGTAAAATTTCACAAAAGTAAGCTCTGGAGAGGGCACGTGTACACAGATTTTACCCTACTTTTTTTTTAAAGGAACTTTACCCCTACTTGGTAGTAGAAAGATAAGAGAAATTTGAATACCCGTTCTTAAATACTCCGGAGGGGTGAAGGCCAAATTCGTACTATAACTCTTTCCATCTCGGCTGTTCTTCATTAATCCAAAACATGAAAGCCTAGGATTGCCGTCCTGTATACACGCCCGAAATGTAAGAGAAATAAGGGTTATAGTAGGGAGTAAATGGGAGGTCAATTGACTTACTTGATCAAAGAGGACTCTGTAAGCATTCAGGTCATGATATAGTGCCCTCCCCTTACTACTGCAATAATCCAATGCTTGTGCCAAATACAAAGCCACCCTTAACCTCATTGTCCATTTCAATGGCTGTGAATCCCCTACAACCGTTCAGCCAAACATCAATCATATACACCGAGAAAAAAAAGAATATTTTGTAGGTTAAAATCAAACAAAAGAAGAAAAAAAAACTTTCTCTAGTGTTTTCTGGGAGACAAACATGCCATAGGGTCTGTTTGGACTCATGAAAATTGCTAAGAAAAAAATAGGAGCATTGGAAGGAATGATGGAAAATGACCAGGTTCCATTTTCTTGGAAATAGAAGTGAAATTTGGAAGAAATGTAGGAACATTAGGTTCAAACTCAATAGAACTTAAGATATTTGTTCAAACTCGTTTTACATTTGTACAGACTACAAAGCTTATATAAGTATAAACTCTTTTTGAGAAAAACAATCAAATCCCTTTTTCCTTTGTATTTCCCAATGTCAAACCAAACATAAAGCAAGCATACAATGTTCTGAATTCCAAACATACAATGAGCAAATCTTCAGTATCTCATTAATCCTCTCAAAGCAAAGTGGAAAGAAATTGAAGAACTCACAATGAAACAGGTGTTTGGAGAGTGTCTCGTGAGGCATAAATTCAGCTACAAGAAATCTATCGTCTCCCTCACAACACCATCCCAACAAGTTCGCAAGCCGCTCGCTCCTCAACTGCCCCACCATTTTTGCTTCATCCTACCAACACATTATCACCCATCCAACCAACAGTCAACAAAAGCACACACAGATTGACACCAAGGTGAAAACCAGGGACAAGGTTCAAACTTGTGACCAGAGAACCAATCCAACCAAAGGCTGAAGCTTGTTGTTGTATGCCCAAAAAAGGATTTATATTAGAGAGAAGAGATCTTACAACAAACTGTCGCGAATCGGGCCAGGCAGACTTGTGAAACCGCTTAACGGCGACCCATTGTCCACCATCTTTGAGCTGTCCTTTGTACACAATATTGGGAGCTTTCTCTCCATGTTCAGACACAATGTTGTCCACAGAGAAGCCAGAGGTGGCGATTTTCAGCTCATTTAACTTAAATTCTCTGAGAGATGTACATTTCCCTTGCTCCCCATCTCCACATTTGTCTTTTTTTTTAAATATATAATCATAAATAGTACAGTCAAGACTCGGGAAAATCAGATACCAGTTCAAGAAAAGGAAAATTGAACAAGAAATTAAAAAAGAAGCCTTACCCATATCTGATGAATTCGAGGTTTTGGATTTGGTTATAGAAGATGCAGAGAAATACCCAAATTTGGAGCAGCGAGCTCCCATTGAATCAATTAATGGACGACTTCTTTTAGTATGAAAGTTGAACAGAGATTGCAAAAGTTGCTGTCTTTTTTATAGTGTTCTCTTCTTTGCTCAAAACCTCTCTCTCTCTCTCTCTTCTTCTCTCTCAAGCAAAAATGATGAATTTTGTTGGTGGGTTTTCATCCACTTTGAAGAGAAAAAGGGTAGAAAGGGGTTCCATAAAGTTTCATCTGTGATTTTTTCTTTGACATTTGACAAGACAGAGGGAAACAAAGTATTTCCTCCCTTCCAAAATAAAAATTTATCCCTTTCATTAAAAAAGTGATATTTCCTCCATACCAATTTGATTACAAATTGTAGGTTACGGAGTAAAATTTTTTACTTCTTGAAATTGTTTTATTTAAAAATTGATATATCAATAAGATATAAAAATTACTACATACTCTACTCTGTATTTGTATTTAATTAGGAGACATAAAACATGAAAAGCGGGGGGTAGAGTGTAGGGGTGTCTTGATATAAGGGCCAGGGGACAAACTAACAATTCGTGAGGGATATAATAATTCCATTTTGGAGCAATTAGAAAAAAAATGCATGCATTTGGTGGTTATTCCACTCTTAGGTTTAAGGCCCCACTTTTGATAATTATAACCAGCTAATTTTAACACTGTTTTGAGCTGGAATTTTCCCTTAAAATTGTGTATATATATATATATATATATATATATATATATATATATATATAGGCCGGTTCACGTGAGAATACACCTTGTGGAGAGAAATGAGAATAAAATCTAGCCGTCAGATCTGATGCATCGTGCGGCTCAGATTGCATCCTGCGCTCAGATTTTGAGATAAATGCATTTTCGAAGGTTTATGGTGCATTTCAACGTAATGCATTTTCACACCATTTTGGTGCATCAAATTTTGATGAAATCTTGACCCTTAGATCTCACAATCTAAAGCACCAGATTCATTCTCATTTCTCTCCTAAGATTGCATTCTCACCAGAACTCTATATATATAATGTAAAATTTGTAAGAGGTCTTTTTTCGGGACCTAGTGAGTACTTTTTAAAAAAATTATGTTAAAATACATCAATGCAATATTTCTAGAAATATGTCATATTTTGTAAATATTTTTAGATTTCAAAATTTAGAAAAAAATAGTGTTTAATCTTATTTTTAGTTTTTAATAATTTATTTTTGTCAACATATGCAAAAATAAATGCTTGAAATAGTGATGTTAATTTTGAAAATTTGAAATATAATACAGGGAAAATATACATATCCTGAGATCAAATATTGACATGATTTTTTTTAATTTTACTTACTCCATTTTTAATTTGTTAATTATTGATGTCACGTGCATCGTATTTCTTTTAAAATTTATTATAAGAGAATTAGATTTTTGGAGACCAAAATAGACTTTCACGGAGCGATCGTACACAAACCTAGACCTCCATTCTTCTTTTGCAGACATACCTCACCCCAATTAACAAGCACTTCATATATTGACTAGAGGTTTGAACCTTTTTGATAACTTTTTTCGGAAAAAGAAAGATCATACACCAAAATATAAATTTAATTGTGGAGCATAATGTAAATTTACCTAATAAAAAACTCCTTTTGTCTCCTGCCCGCAATTGTTCATGCTCTAAAGAGATGCCAAGTGTGAACAATATACTCTCTTTGTCCGGAATAGATCAATATATTGGATTGTTCTAAAAAATTCCCCCCTCCATATTTAGAATTGAAATCCAAGAACTCAAATAATTTCAAATCTCTAAACACTGCCTTAGCTTATTCAATATTATTTGTCAATGTAGGAGGGAATTTCTTTAGGACATGCATTATAAATGGATCAAAACATATACTCTATGGTAGCCCAAAGTATTTGAGTCCACATTTGCTTCCCCTACCACATCAAATTCAATTTCATACTCAGATGATACTACAATGCTGCACTCTATCTATATTACTACCTCCGTCCCGTGAAACATGGGACATTTGCTTTTTAGGAGGGATTTAAGGGAGTGTATTTTGGTATTGAATTTCCAAAAATGTCCTTTGATGTGATGGGTAAAAGTATGATTTGATGGATAAATTATTAGTAAAAAGGTATGATGTGATAGTTAGGGTATGAAAAAGTAAGGGGTAAAAGTGACTTTTTAATAGAAATGAGAAGTGTTTTGTAGGACGGATAAAAAAAGAAAGGGGAAATGTTTCACGGGACGGAGGTAGTATTATACTGCCACCAAATTACAACTATATTTACTAGTGTCACATGAGTTGTTCTCCCTATATAACACTTTTTCATGGCCTTCGACTTTCTCGTTTTCAGTTTCGGGAAGGCCTTTCGTTGTTGTCTGATTATCGCTTTCTAATGTTTAGAACAGCGAGGCAAATGGAGAATGCTTGCAAGAGTTTGAGAGATGAAGCGTACTCCACAGAAAGGATCCCATCTTTGAAAGGGCCCAACAGCCTGAGGGCAGCCATATTTTCTTGATGATCTCCTCCCTGTCAAACAGCATAATCATCAGTACTTGAATAAAGGATGGTGAAACTGATAATTCTCAATCTTACAAGAGAATATGGGTTGATATTTGTTGTTGTGTTCCATTACAAGATTGACATTGTAAAATCAACCTTCAAATCACGAAACATGAGGAACTCGTTAAAACGCCAAGAAAAACAGATTCTATATAAAAAAAACTTCAGGATAAATTTTGGGTGTTCCAATTAAAAATCTAGTATTAGAAACAGGTGAGAAAACATACAACAATCAACTATCCCGAACGCAATTAATACCTGAGAGAAAAGCTCAAACTGTCCATCACTCAATGGAAATTTATATTTTCTGCCGATGGCACTGTCATTGGAAAGGATTCTTAGTTTGCATCCCAAATCCCAACCTCCACAGTCACACGACCCACCGGATTTCCATCTTTCAATGAGTGAAGAAGGCTCCCCTTTTCTGGGAAGTCCATGATCACCACCAGGAAGAATCACATTCATGCTAATCTCTTCACACCCTGAAAATTTCACAACAATGGCTGCAAGCTCTGAAGTTTGTTGATTTATGTTGCCTGTGTTAAACAAAACAAATTCCCTACTAATGACGTCTGACAATTGAACATCAGAAACCTTCATTTGAGCAATGACGGCACTAGAAATATTTCCTGTCACTTTGTTTCTGTCCTTTTTCTTCTTCTTCTTCTTCATGTCATGCATAGTAGAGAATGTATAGATCCAATTGTTGTTCTTCGTGGATGAAGACAATCGCTCCACAGTGGCTGTTACACACTCATCTTCCTTCTCACCTGAGAATCTAAATTGAGGAACGCCATTTGTGATGGCTGCTTGTAATTGAGCTCGCTTTGTGGCAGTCCCCTGTCTCCCAATTCGAACTGTTTTACAAATTTTAAAATCTAATTTTACTTTCATGAGGTATGGAGCAAGATATTCTCTGCTGGAATTGGATGATGACTCTTCTGTTGACGAGAATGACGATGCATTGCTGCTAGTCGATGGTGGTGAAACCACATTGAACCTCGAAGGCATTTGCTTAGCTTTACTTTGCCACCTTTCTAGATGCTTCCAGTCAAGCACTCCAACATTAAAAGCTTTTTCCTGCTGGGGTTTTCCTCCCTGCAGATAGGTAGGTAAACTCGACATGTATCTAACGAGCTCTTCTTCTTTATCACTTCCCTTCTTGTCAAAATGCTTATTCTGGAGTGACTTGGGTGTAAATAGACCCACATTTTCACAGTTGAAATTTCCACAAGATATGTTTGCCTTCTCAGAAGTCAACATAGCTCCCAACTTTGTGTTTTCTCTAGAGCAGTTCCCGGAATCACACTCCATGAGCTTCACTCAAATGTAACAGCCCACTAGTTCATCTGTGGAAGGAAACTATTAATGAGGAAAAATGGTCAACTCACTTTAGATGCATTTTGATTCATACAATGACAACAAATAAACATACCAAATCTATAAGAAATACCCCAGTGTATATGTTTGGAAAAGGATGGAGGATAACAATGCCGGTCCTCATATATTTCTGGGATTTCATTCCTTTTGTAATACAAGATAAATGAAGTGCCAATACTTCTCTAAGAATGGAGAAGGAAACTATGATGACTCATCTCCAGACACAGTATTCCTTTTCTTCTACTCCACTTTATCTTTCTTTTTGTTGGATTGGCTCAGCCCAACCACTTTGAACAATCAACTGCTACATGAGCCAAGGCCGAGCCCAAACGCGGCCATGGACAATTTGGTACAACATTTAATCCGTTACGACTAGCATTCATTCAGTCAACCATGAGATGTATTCATGTACAAATTTAGTCCTAGTATATTAGGAGGCTCCATGCCTGAAAATGAGGGTGCTCACATTATCACTGTAGTCTCCTTGTGTCTACACCATCAAATTCCAACATCTAGTTTTAAGGAATATGATCCAAGCATGAATACAAAAATAAAACACAGTTCCTGGATACACAACAATGTGATTTCATTTTTAGAGCTGAAGGAGATTGGTGGCAATAAAAAAATACAGTTCACAGCAAGTAGTCATTCAAAGTTTGAAAAAAAAGGTGAAAGAACCAAATAGTGTGGTCCTCTAAAGACAACTAGACAAGTGTGCCTACCTACCTAATCACATCTGGCAGACTGGCACTCTTGTAAAAGACAAATAGCTATGTTGATTCCAAATGACAGAATAATTACTAGGTGTCTATCAAAGGTTTGCAGATTCATGTTTAATTTTTTGTATCAATCTTCTAAGGGGACAATCAAGATTTAGCACCTATCTCAACTAATCACCATCTCAAATCTTGTAATGGGATTAAGGTGATGATGATTGAATCCTCACTGAGAAGGCAAGTGAAGAAATGTGTTAAGGAATACTCATATAAGTGGGTGTGAATCTGTGCAACACCGGACCAAATACCAAAATCTCCACACACAAAAATACTAGACCCGTTGGACCGGATATTTTTTAAATATATTGAGTGTGATAAATCTAAGACGGAGTTCTCAGTCCGAAGCTCAAATACATTCAAAATTAAATACTCTCTCCGTCCAAAAAAATGTCACAGTTCACTATCCAAAAATCACCGAAACTTTTGTTTATTTGTTTAAAGTAAATTAATCCAAGTAAAAAGCTTATAACTCAGAAAACCAGCTAGACCAGATCAAAGACCTGACCTGATGGACCCTGGTCTGGTGCAGTCTGCCCCAGTCTTCAGGTACGTACAAAAACGTGCACAATAAAAGAAAACCATACAAAACCTATCCATCCTCAAAGAAAAAGGGGTTCAACAGTCAACACTAGTCTAACACTATCATGTTTGCCACAAATACTACTCCCCTGCCCCCCTTTTATTTTCTCACTTTACTTTTTGTTTGTCCATAATTAACTTTCTACTTCTATAAAATTCTAAAACACATACTCCGTAATTTATAGCTCAATTTACCTTCTATCATGTAATTGTTCAACCTTCTAAGATATGCAGTTTCGTTTTCACAAACTTCATGTAAAAAGCTAATGTGAAACAAAATAGTGAATGCAAAAATAAGAGGAAGAAATCAACAATGCAAGATGGCAAGGAAACAAAACAATCAATTTCCACTTCCAACATCTGGAATGAAGTGGATTCCATAACAAAATCAAATCGTTCATGTCCAGATCAAAATGCTCTGCAACTAAATTCATTTCCAGTTCTAAACTTGTACAACAACAACAGAAACACGAGCAATGAAAGCCACAAATATTTAAAAAAACACGCTTAGATTCAATCCTCCAACAACAAAACGATTCGAATCTCAGAAATCAAACCACGAAATTGCGGAAAACGATTCGGAGCGGCATACCTTAACAGTGCTTCAAGTCATGGAGGCAGGGAATATACAGAATCGCAGAGGAATTGAAGAATTAGGGAGTCCGAAGAGTGGTGATGGAAAAGGGGGGGAGAAAAAGATACTGGGAAATGGAATGCTTTCGGCTGGAGCTCACTTTGTTTTCTGGATGGATTTATGTCAGGATAGAAAAAGGTGTGGGGTTGTGAATTCGTACAATATCTGTGTATAGGATTTTCTTTATCCTTTGAAATGGTCGCACGTCTTCCATTATCACCTCGAGGAGTTCGAGGACATCATCATCATCATCATGCAAGTGTATTGCAGAGTGCGGCACACTGACTAGTTCCACTCTGCCGCTTGTAGTTAATTTTTTAGACTGATATTTGCAAAAAAAATAAAAAAATGTTAAATGCCTTCAATTTTGTTATAAGAACTATTGGATAATGATTGTGAAGAGGAATAAACCGAGAAATTGACAGAAGGGCCATATTCGTAGGTTTTGAAATAATAAAAGGTACCTGATAGTATATTTTTAAAAGTTGGGGTACTGGGTAATTCTTATTACATAACTGGAAGTACCTAGCATCAATTTTTTGTGATATTAGCGTGTCATTTTTTGAAGGATAATAAAACTTTCAATTGCTTAAAGGGTTCATATAACAAATACTGATGGAATAAACTCGTACTCAAATCTAAAAACCAACGCCACTAAAAGAACGATGGACAAAAAAAATTGTAGCCGTATTAAACTAGGCTAACAACATCAAACAATCATCGATCATCGAATCGAAATATGACGACCAGGAAGAGCAATCTCCTTGTTGAATGATGAACAAAACCTCCAAACAAATAGGTAGTGAAAATGGCTAAATAACGTAATTAAAGTTTGACTTTATAAATAGTAAATAAATACGGAGTAATTTAAATTAGAGAGAAGGAATCGAAGTAATATTAAAGAGACAATCTCTTCTTATTTAATTTTTTTTATTCCATACACACATAGACACGTGTACACCTTAGGATCCGAGTGATTGGGAATTTAATCAAATGACTAGAATAATGAAACACACAAACACATGAATGTAAGATTAGGAAAACAAAGAAATTACATTCGAAAAAAAGGATGAGCCGGGTCCCAAAAGAATCTCTAAGATCCGGTCAAACAGTTATTGAGAAGAAGTAAATTAGACTTTAATCGTAGATTGGTGGTAGAGAGCGGAGTCTGCACTTGGTACTCGGAGAGACCCTATGTTTAATATAGTTGTCACACCGCAGTTGTCAGAAATCAAACTCAGGTATATCCCTTGGCACTCTTTGTCTTTGCCAATTGCGCTCACCGTCAATGAAATTACAATCGAAGTTCACAACGTGGGAGCGAAGAAATGAAGTGTGCAAGTTCATTCAGAGCTCTGTGTGAAGATCCATCTCTCTTGAAAGAATCATCTAATTTCCGCTTCATCCCCATGGCATTCTTCTTCACCTTGTCCCTCTCATCCCCTTCCCTCATAAGCTCTTTAACAGTTTTTGCAATCACACCTCTCTCCAACTCTTTCAATTCCAGCCCCACCCGCCATTCTTGGACCAAGAATCTGGCATTCGTGAGTTGGTCGGCGAAGACCGGCCTGCAAATCATGGGTACCCCTTCCCCCAGGGCCTCCATCGTCGAATTCCAACCGCAGTGACTCCAGAACCCCCCCACCGAACCATGGGCTAAAACATCTTTTTGTGGTGCCCATTTCACTATCCTTCCCCTCTCTCCCATTCTCCTCTCCAAGTCTTCCCACTGCCCCTCTTCGCATTCCATGCCTGTTGCCCAGAAAATAAAAAATCATGTTAGCATTATATATGCATGGTTGGTCCTCCCGTTAATTTTGTCGTTAGTCCATGCATACTCTGAACATCTCTAACCTTTGATGGATCCGGGGCGGATGGCCCAAAGGAAAGAGTGGCCACTGTCGGCGAGCCCCCAAGCAATCTCCGCAAAGTCTCCTTCTTCAATCTCGGCTATGCTCCCCGACGCGCTTACAAAGAGGACCGATTGAGGAGCTTGTTTGTCCAGCCATGAGAGACAGCTTCTGTCTTCTTCCAAGAAGCTAGTGTTCGTGGGAGTAATGGAAAACTTGTGAAAAGGGCCTGTTGGGAAGATGGGTACTTTGTAGAGCTGTTGAAGCCTCGAGAGCCATTTGTGCTCGAGACCCTCTACTGTGTTCCATATTATGGCCACCGAAGATCCTATATCCGTTGACATGGACATGAAACTTTTCGCTTCTCTTGAACTCATGAAAGAGGGGATGTCCTTGTACCTCACGAGATCTAACTCAGGAATTGAATCCTCAAGCTTGTACTCTGCAGATGGGATATACAAGTATCTTTTTAAATGAAAGAAAATTTCATTCTCATTTCATTTTTTGAGAAAAGTTACCTTTAGAAATTGTATGATTTATTTTTTAACATTAAAAAGTACACTGTGTACCCTCAAACTCTTCGAAAATTACACGATTTACCTCTGAACATTAAAAAGTGCACCAAATATCTTTAAACAATTTAAAACGTTGCACTCTTGGTGGTAAAATGCTAAATAGGGAGTGCGTTGCTCCAACGCACGTGAATTGCGAGTATGATTCATTTTGCCCTAGTGAATTTTTTAATATTCAGGGGTAAACCGTCTAATTTTTGAAGAATACGGAGGTATTTGGTTCACTTTTTATTGTATAGGGATAAATCGTGCAATTTCAGAAAAATTTGGGGATAAACGATGTACTTTTTTCTTTATTTTTTTGGATCAAATTTTAAAAATTTTGACTTCAATATACGAAAAAAATATAAATTATTTTTTGAAGATGAAAAATACAATATTTTATGATATAAATTTAATATCAATAGAATTCTTTTAAAATTTGTTTTGACTACGGCCACTCATCTCTTCACCCTTTCTTTGTTTCCCAACTCTTCGGCCACTCATCTCTTATCTACTTCTTCTTCTCTCATCTCATTCCTCCATATCCCCCACTGTCTACATCCTTCTCTCTCTTCTTTTCTTTTTCTTCTTCTCTTTCCCAATCTATCCACCTTTTTCTTCTTCTTCTTCTTCTTTCTCTGATTCCTCTTTCCCCGATCTGTCCCCCCATCTTCTTTTTCTTCTTCTCATTTCTTTCAACTCACTAGGAATTTATTTACTATTTACCTTAAAACAAATAATTAAAATCGAGGGAAGTTGTATATTTGGTAGGGATGAAGGTAACATACATACCCGGAACAGGAAAAACAGAATCTCCATGTCGGAGAAGATGGACTACAAATAGAGCGAAAAGTGCGCTGAAAGGGCGCATAACGATGGAAGGGAGACGGAGAAGAGAAGCCACGTGGCCAGCATAGTACATGAGATTGTCGTAGATGACGCAACGGACGTCGTCACCCAGTTTCTCCAGATACTCCCGAAGGGGTACCCTACAATTCTCATTCATGGTGCCGGCAAAAATCAGTCTTTCGGCCACATCACCACTTGGAATATCATCTCCCTCTGCTAAGTTGTGGAAGGACAAGTTTGGGTGGTGGGAAGGGGTGGGGGGGTTGTATTGGGTGTGGGCAATTTTGACGGAGAAGCCCTTCGAGTGGAGGGCGTGTCCTAGTTGCAGCAAGGGGGTCATGTGCCCTTGCAAAGGGTATGGCACCAGAACCACTACTCTCCCTTCTCCCCTTTCATCAACTCCACTCTCCCTTTCTGATCTTTCCATCTTCCTTATTAGCTGGATCGTTGTCGACTTATATGCTTTATATACTCCCAGATCCCCTTTTCATTTCATTTTTTTTTGTTGTCCTCGAAAATATGTTCTTTTTATTTATTGAATAGAGAAAAGTACTAAAATAGGACTTTCATGTTTTTTTCCCGGAATAGGACTTTGCATTGTGGTAATGTTGCAGTGTACATGTGCAAATCACTATACTTTCTTGGTAATGTATATGACGATGTTTGGTAATGTAAGTTCTATTTCGGGAATAAAAACATGGAAGTCCTATTTTGGTATATTTTCAATGTTTTAGTCCTACTTAGGTGTTTCTATCCACGTTTACCCATTACTTTTGTATACATTACCTATCACATCATACATTTTAACACAAAAATATCTCTGCGTTAAATCTTTAAAAAGTCAATAAGAGAAGATGTTATTGGGAGAGGGGAATCAAACAGGGAGCCTTAGCTTGTTATGCAGTTTTAACTTGTAAATTCCTTCACCTCTATTTTTTTAAATTAAATTTGGTGATGGTTAGATTCAAATTCGTGACTAAAGGTGTATAGTTCTGTCCAAATTAAAATATATGGATGTTGAGATACCGTTTCTCAAAAGTAGTTTAAGATAATAAAATTAAATTAAAAATTTAATTTATTCAAAATCGTCTATTTCGGAAATAAAAATACGGAATTTTTATTTTAGTAATTTTTCTAAAAACCTCTACCCCTTTGAACCTGCCAGGGACTGCATGCTGCCCCTTGGAATCAGATACCTGAGATTGCCACCCACGGACCCCTATTATGAACTTGTAATATAGTTGAATAATCGTGCATTCAATTCTGCACCTCCTATCTTGTTTACATTTAACAATATCTACTCAAATTCATATACTCCCTCCGTTCCAAATTATTTGCCACATTTGTATTCCCGAGGCAAAATATCAAGTTTTTTCAATTTATTTTATTTACATATTGGTATAGAAATAAAAAATAAAATTTACATATCAAAAAACTACATGAAAAGTTCTTCGAAATAAGAGGTGTCAAGAATATTTTATTTTACCGTATCAAATAACCAATGAAAACGTTAAAATAAACAAAAGTTCTCGCGACTGCTGAAAAAGCAAATGTTGTGAATATTTAGGGACGGAGAGAGTATTACATAACTAAATTTAATTACATAGAATAGTTGATATATGCTGCCTGTGTTAAACAAAACAAACTCCCTAATAATGACGTCTGACAATTGAACATCAGAAACCTTCATTTGAGCGATGACGGCACTAGAAATATTTCCTGTCACTTTGGTTCTATCCTTTTTCTTCTTCTTCATGTCATGCATAGTAGAGAATGTATAGATCCAATTGTTGTTCTTCGTGGATGAAGACAATCGCTCCACAGTGGCTGTTACACACTCATCTTCCTTCTCAACTGAGAATCTAAATTGAGGAACGCCATTTGTGATGGCTGCTTGTAATTGAGCTCGCTTTGTGGCAGGCCCCTGCCTCCCAATTCGAACTGTTTTACAACTTTTAGATGCTTCCAGTCAAGCACTCCAACATTAAAAGCTTTTTCCTGTTGGGCTTTTCCTCCCTGCAGATAGGTAGGTAAACTCGACATGTATCTAACGAGCTCTTCTTCTTTATCACTTCCCTTCTCACAAGTCAACATAGCTCCCAACTTTGTATTTTCTCTAGAGCAGTTCCCGGAATCACACTCCATGAGCTTCACTCAAATGTAACAGCCCACTAGTTCATCTGTGGAAGGAAACTATTAATGAGGAAAAATGGTCAACTCACTTTAGATGCATTTGGATTCATTCAATGACAACAAATAAACATACCAAATCTATAAGAAATACCCCAGTGTATATGTTTGGAAAAGGATGGAGGATCACAATGCCGGTCCTCCTATATTTCTGGGATTTCATTCCTTTTGTAATACAAGATAAATGAAGTGCCAATACTTCTCTAAGAATGGAGAAGGAAACTATGATGACTCATCTCCAGAGACATTATTCCTTTTCTTCTACTCCACTTTATCTTTCTTTTTGTTTGATGGGCTCAGCCCAACCACTTTGAACAATCAACTGCTACACGAGCCAAGCCGAGCCCAAACGCGGCCATGGACAATTTGGTACAACGTTTAATCCATTACGACTAGCAGTCATTAAATCAACCATGAGATGTATTCATGTACAAATTTAGTTCTAGCATATTAGGAGGCTCCATGCCTGAAAATGAGGGTGCTCACATTATCACTGTAGTCTCCTTGTGTCTACACCATCAAATTCCAACATCTAGTTTTAAAGAATATGATCCAAACATGAATACAAAAATAAAACACAGTTCCTGGATACACAACAATGTGATTTCATTTTTAGAGCTGAAGGAGATTGGTGGCAATAAAAAAATACAGTTCACAGCAAGTAGTCATTCAAAGTTTGAAAAAAAAGGTGAAAGAACCAAATAGTGTGGTCCTCTAAAGACAACTAGACAAGTGTGCCTACCTAATCACATCTGGCAGACTGGCACTCTTGTAAAAGATAAATAGCTATGTTGATTCCAAATGACAGAATAATTATTAGGTGTCTATCAAAGGTTTGCAGATTCATGTTTAATTTTTTGTATCAATCTTCTAAGGGGACAATCAAGATTTAGCACCTATCTCAACTAATCACCGTCTCGAATCTTGTAATGGGATTAAGGTGATGATGATTGAATCCTCACTGAGAAGGCAAGTGAAGAAATGTGTTAAGGAATACTCATATAAGTGGGTGTGAATCTGTGCAACACCGGACCAAATACCAAAATCTCCACACAAAAATACTAGACCCGTTGGACCGGATATTTTTTAAATATATTGAGTGTGATAAATCTAAGACGGAGTACTCAGTCCGAAACTCAAATACATTCAAAATTAAATACTCTCTCCGTCCAAAAAAATGTCACAGTTCACTATCCAAAAATCACCAAAACTTTTGTTTATTTGTTTAAAGTAAATTAATCCAAGTAAAAAGCTTATAACTCAGAAAACCAGCTAGACCAGATCAAAGACCTGACCTGATGGGCCCTGGTCTGGTGCAGTCTGCCCCAGTCTTCAGGTACGTACAAAAACGTGCACAATAAAAGAAAACCATACAAAACCTATCCATCCTCAAAGAAAAAGGGGTTCAACAGTCAACACTAGTCTAACACTATCATGTTTGCCACAAATACTATTCCCATGCCCCCTTTTATTTTCTCATTTTACTTTTTGTTTGTCCATAATTAACTTTTCTACTTCTATAAAATTCTAAAAAACATACTCCCTCCGTCCACCTAAGATCTTCTCATTACGCGTTACAAGGCTTGACCGACTTTATTTTCAATTCAATTTAATTGATTATACGAGTAAAATTTAAAAATAAAATTTATATAGTAATAAACTACATGAAAAGTTCTACAAAACTAAAGGTGACAAGACTATATTATTTTACGAAATGACTAGTAAAAAAGAGCAAACAAAGTGAGTAAAGTTTGACCCTGTGAATAGTGTCCGGGAAGATCTATGGGGGACAGAGGGAGTACTTTATAGCTCAATTTACCATCTATCACGTAATTGTTCAACCGGAGTCGAGGCATGAGATTCATGCTTCTTTTCTAAGATATGCAATTTCGTTTTCACAAACTTAATGTAAAAAGCTAATGTGAAACAAAATAGTGAATGCAAAATTAAGAGGCAGAAATGAAGAATGAAGGATGGCAAGCAAACATAACAATCAATTTCCACTTCCAGCATCTGGAATGAAGTGGAATCCATATCAAAATCGAATCATTCAAGTCCAGATCAAAATGCTCTGCAACTCAATTCATTTCCAGTTCTAAACTTGTACCACAACAACAACAGAAAAACGAGCAATGGGAGCAACAAATATTTATAATAAAAAACACGCTTAGATTCAATCCTCCAACAACAAAATCACGAAGAAATAGCGGCAACACGAATCGAATCTCAGAAATCGAACCACGCAATTACAGAAAACGATTCGAAGCGGCATACCTTAACAATGCTTCAAGTCATGGCGGAAGGGAATATAGAGAATCGCAGAGGAATTGAAGAATTAGGGAGTCCGAAGAAGTGAAGATGGAAAAGGGGGAGAAAAGGATAATCATCCTCCCCAGCCGTCCGCCGTCCGGTCTCCCTCCTCCCCAGTCGTTCGTCTCCCTCCGCCGGCTTCTCCTAATCCCCGCCGAACTTTTTTTTAATCTCTTTTTTTAACAATTTTTTTTACATTTTTTTTTTAATGCTATTGACTCTATTACAAGGTAGTATCTGTTCATACTATTCTCAAGCTAATAACTAATGACGCACAAAGAGCCAATGCTGCTGCCTTCGCTGGGGCTCGAACCTGGGTGAACTTCCCAATCCTGGGAGTGGACTTGCTACCACTCAAGCCAGGGGAGAAGTTCTTTTTTTTACATTTTTTGTTGTTAACAATTTGTACAATAATCAATGTTTTTTTTTACCTTTTTTTACATTCTCATCTCTGCCAGCAACAATTTGTACAATTTTTTTAACAGTGTTTTTTTAAACATTTTTTATCTCTTTTTTATACAAAAGTCAATAATTTGTTGTTAATTGTTACTAAAGATTGTTGTAGTAGTTCAATTGTCAAGCACTTAATGCAAAGTGCGGAATAAATTATTTGAAAAGTGTGGAATTAATTATTTGAAAAATTATCGAGCACTTAATGCAAAATGCGGAATAAATTATTTGAAAAATTGTTGTTTTTATTATTTTAAAAAATGTTATTGTTGTTATTTTAGTGTTGTAGAACACTTGATTAAATTTAAATGTTTAAAAAATATTGATTGATTTAAAAATTCATTTATTTTAAATTTCAGTTTATTTAAGCAATCTGCATAAGTTAAAAAACAAACAGTCTTCCTCTTGCAGACTGCAGACCTTTGGTCCACCTCTTTTTCTGCAGATGTGTGCAGATGTGGTCTGCAGACTGCAGACTTTTTTCTGCAGAAAAAACAAACAGCACCTAAGTGAACGATGGACAAAAGAAATTGTAGCCGTATTAAACGAGGCCAACAACATCAAACAATCGTCGATCAACGAATCGAACTATCACGATCAAGAAGAGCAATCTCCTTTTTGAATGGCCAACACAACCGGCAAGCAATCCAATAAAATTTTTAGCACTTGAACTCCCTTTGTCTTCAACCAAGACAATGCCTTCCAACAAACCATAGTCTTGGGCTCTCAGCTAACAAATGGTCTTGAGCATATTTCAACCCTCTATTGACTGCTGGCAAAAACGAACCATCAGGTTTCAGCAGCACACACCCAAACTCAGTTGAATTATACTGCATAAAGGTAACTATATATTTTCTCAATCTAATAATGTATGAAGTTAATTAATCTCTCCCAATTTACAATTAAAGTTACGGGAGATGTTCAATGACATTCACTGAGATTGTCTCCGATGACACGGCTCCGATTAAAATACTTATGATGCTTCGTTATGAAACTAATGACCCCTACCGCAAAGTGTTTTTTTCCTTCCGTATTTACCTTAACTTTTAGCCGAATTAGATAGATTTTGAATTTTATTAAAATATCCACATCAGAAATGAACAAAAAAACTAATTAATATATGACCAGGGTACTTACAGTATCTTTTAATGTGATTCAAGCCAAATATCTTAAGACTCAATCAAGTAACCCTTTCCACAACCTAAATCTACCAAATTTTAATTAAATATTCATAAAAAATGGTACATCTAAAAAATTACCTTGTATTATGTATGTTAGTATTATCTTGTTGAGACTTTTCAAAATTTTAATTTGTTATATGGGTAATGATCTTTTGACCTTTGGTGCCCTGGTCATATTATGGCCAGAGCACGAAGTAGTAATAAAAGCTAAATAACATGATTAAAGTTTGACTTTATTATTAGTAAACAGACAACTTAAATTAGAACGAAAGAATCAGAGTAATATCAAAGAGACAATCTCTTCTTATTTAATTTATTTTTCTTCCATACACACACATAGACACACGTACACCTAAGGATCCGAGGGATTGGGAATTTAATCAAATGACTTTAGAATAATGAAAAGAAACACACGAACACATGAATGTAAGATTAAGAAAACAAAGAAATTACATTCGAAAAGTGGATGAGCTCGGTCCCAAAATAATCTCTCAGATCCAACCAGACGGTTATTGAAAAGAAGTAAATTGGACTTTATTCATAGATTGGTGGTAGAGAGCGGAGCCTGCAGCTGATACTTGGAGAGACCCTATACTTAGCATAATCATCTCCCAGCGCAGTTGTCAGAAATCGAACTCGGGTCTATGCATTGTCACTCTTTGCATTTGCCAACTGCGTTCACCCTCAAAGAAATTACATTCGAGGTTCACAACGAGGGAGCGAAGAAATGAAGTGTGCAAGTTCATTCAGAGCTCTGTGTGAAGATCCATCTCTTGTGAAAGAATCATCTAATTTCAACTTCATCTTCATGGCATTCTTCTTCAGTTTGTCCCTCTCATCCCCTTCCCTCATAAGCTTTCTAACAGTCTCTGCAATCACACCTCTCTCCAACTCTTTCAATTCCAGTCCGACCCTCCATTCTTGGACCAAGAACCTGGCATTCGTGGATTGGTCGGCAAAGACTGGCCTGCAAATCAGTGGTACCCCTTCCCCCAGGGCCTCCATCGTCGAATTCCAACCGCAGTGGCTCCAGAACCCCCCCACTGAACCATGGGCTAAAACATCTTTCTGTGGCGCCCATTTCACTATCCTTCCTCTCTCTCCCATTCTCCTCTCCAAGTCTTCCAACTGTCCCTCTTTGTATTCCATGCCTGTTACCCAGAAAATAAAAAATCACGTTAGCATTATATATGGATGGTTGGTCCTTTCGTTAATTTTGCCGTTAGTCTTTAACCTTTGATGGATCCGGGGCGGATGGCCCAAAGGAAAGGGTGGCCACTGTCGGCGAGCCCCCGGGCAATCTCCGCAAAGTCTCCTCCTTCAATCTCGGCTATGCTCCCCGACGCGCTTACAAAGAGAACCGACTGAGAAGCTTGTTTGTCCAGCCATGAGAGACAGCTAGTGTCTTCTTCCAAGAAGCTAGTGTTTGTGGGAGTAATGGAAACCTTGTGAAAAGGGCCCGTGGGGAAGATGGGCACTTTGTAGAGCTGTTGAAGCCTCGAGAGCCATTTGTGCTCAAGACCCTCTACTGTGTTCCATATTATGGCCACCGAAGATCCTATATCCATTGAAATGGACATGAAATTTTTGGCTTCTTCAGAATTCATGTAAGGGGGGATGTCCTTGTACCTCAAGAGATCTAACTCAGGAATTGCATCCTCAAGCTTTGACTCTGTAGATCAGATGGGATATATCTTTTTAAATGAAAGGAATTTTTCTTGGTCAAACTTTGTAAATTTTAATCTCGATATACAAAAAAATACAAACCTTTTTGGAAGACAGAAAATGTACAAATTTTATTATATAAGTTTAATATCAATAAATTTCTTTTGAAATGTTGTTTTGAAATATCAAATATTTATAAAATGCGAGTATATCTATATACTCCCTCCGTCCCATAAAGATAGGAACGGTTTGACTAAAGTGGTAAAATAAGGAAGGATAATTTTGTATTGATTTTCCAAAAATACCCTTGATGTGATGAGTAAAAAATGGGATATGATGTGTATCTAATTATTAGGAAAATGTATGATTTGATAAGTAGGGTATGAAAAAATAAGGGGTAAAAGTGATTTTTTTAAAGAAATAGGAAGAACTTCTAGGGACACAATTTTTTTGAAACATGAAGGACTTTATGGGACGGAGAGAGTATAAATTAAACATAGATACTAATTGTCAAAATATAACAATGAAGATTGTAAAAAGTCAAACGAGAAGAATATTTTCAGATGAAGGTGGTATAATACACCATCACAATCCTAAACTCTCTTCGCACAAATTGGATTATAAGTTTTCATTTACGAGATAAAAATCTTAATTTTTTAATCAATTCATTTAAAAACTAGCATAAGAACAATTATTAAAATGTAAATACTAAAAAACTACATGAAAGTTGTAGAAAATAAAAGGTGACAAAAATATTTTATTTTATCGAATAATCAATGAAAAAGAAACGTAACTATTCTAATCTAAGAAAAGAAACTTTCATCATTCATTCCCTCTTCACCATTACTAAATCTAGTGATATTAAATTGAACTATATATTCTCTTGGACACGTAGTTATTCTAATTTCTATAGAGAAAAGAAGAAGAAGAATGTAGGAGGCAAAAAATAGAAAACACGCTATTTTTCTAATTTGTATAGAAAATAGGCAAGAAATAAAGTACCAACCCACAACTTTTTATGGAGTTAGTGGCTTGTTAGGTCCCTTTATCTTTTGAAAGTGCTCCACACTATTTTTCTAATTTGTATAGAAAATAGAAAAAATTGTGCAAGAAATAAAGTACCAATCCACAACTTTTTATAGAGTTAGTCGCCTGCTAGGTCCCTATATCTTTTGAAAGTGCTCCTAGGTGTTGCGTACTTGGCAAAACCAAAGAGTGACAAAAAGGATAAGATTTGAGTTCGATTCTTAGTAACTGCGCAGGAAGGTAATTATGCTAACCATAAGATCTCTACAAGTATCAAGTGTAAGTTCTACTCTTTGTTACTCCCTCCGTTCTCAAAAACACTTCCTCTTTCATTTTTTACACTTCCAACAAAACACTTCCCTTTTCTTTTAAAAAACCACTTTTACTCTTACTTTTTCATACCCTACCTATCACATCATACTTTTTCTCTAATAATCTATCCATCACATCTTACTTTTACACATCACATCAGGGGCAAAATTGGAAATCAAATATAATTTAATACTTCCTTATTTTTGCCCCCAAATTAAATGGGAAGGGGTTTTCCAAACGGAGGGAGTATTAATCTACCATCAAAGTCCAATTTTCCTCCTCCCTGTGATATGAGAAAGCTCTAGGGGATGAGGCTCATCTTTTTTTAAATGATTTTAAATACTTACCAAGTCCCTATAAATAAATTCTATGAATG